TATTGCCATTGCAGACTTCAGATTCGTGGTTACCAAAGGTTCAAGGGTAGCTTCTTTACTATCTAACCATCTAGCTTAACTCTCTTATTAAGCTATTATAAACACAGTCTGATAATTCTTTATTTCTTTCCCTTCTTATTATTCCTCCTCCATTCTTTATGTTTGGTGTTTTATTCTGTACTCTTTTGGGTTTCCTTTAACTGCTTTTGTGGATAGTTGATTTTATTTTTTGCCTTTAGTTAGTATTTGGTTTGTCTGCTTTCTTTGCTGTGATTTTATTTTCACTGGTGGTATCTATTTAGCCTTCGGGGTGCTTCCATCTAGAGCAGTCCCTTTTAAATACCCTGTAGAGGTGGTTTTTGGGAGGCAAATTCCCTCAACTTTTGCTCTTCTGGAAATTGTTTAATCCCTCCTTCAAATTTAAATGATAATCATGCTGGATACAGTATTCTTGATTCAAGGCCCTTTTGTTTCATTGCATTAAATATATCATGCCATTCTCTTCTGGCCTGTAAGGTTTCTGTTGAGAAGTCTGATGATAGCCTGACGGATTTTCCTTTTTGGGTGATCTTTTTTTTCTCTCTGGGTACCTTTAATACTCTGTCCTTGTCTTTGATCTTAGTCATTTTAACTATTATGGTGTTTTTGTCCTTGGGTCTCTTGTGTTGGGGAGTCTGTGAGCTTCCATGGTCTGATAGACTATTTCCTTCCCCACTTTGGGGAAGTTTTCCGCAATTATTTCTTCAAAGACACTTTCTATTCCTTTTTCTCTGTCTTCTTCTTCTGGTACTCCTATAATGTGAATATTGTTCCATTTGGATTGATGACACAGTTCTCTTAATATTGCTTCATTTTTAGAGATCCTTTTATCTCTCTCTGCCTTGCTTCTCTGTATTCCTGTTCTCTGACTTGTATTCCATTAACAGTCATTTGCCCCTCGTTCAGTCTGCTCTTAAGACCTTCTGTTGATTGTTTTATTTCTGTTATCTCCCTCTGGATTTCATCCCTTAGCTCTTGCATATTTCTCTGCAGGTTCACCAGCATGGTTAGGACTTTCATTTTGAATTCTTTTTCAGGACGATTGGTTATATCTATCTCCCCAGGCCCTCTCTCTCTGGGGTTGTCTGAGTGATTTTTGACTGGACCAGATTCTCCTGCCTTTTCATGGTGACAGAAGCGGACACAGGCAGGTGGCGTGTGTGTCACCTGGGAGAACAAAGTCCCTTCCTGCTTGCTGGTTGCCTTGCCCTTCTCCACTGCCTGTGCCATCTACCTGCATACTGGGAATAGTCTGTGGGCTAATCTACTGAGCTGCTGTGGGTGGGTTGGTCCTTGGGCTAGCCAGAGTAGTGTGTTGGGGGGTCACAGCTGTGCCCAGTGTGTTCTCCTGTGAGAATGGTGCCCCTTCGTGCCTTCCAGACCTTGGTCTGGCTTCCTCAGTCTGTTCTGGTTGGCTGTGTGCTGGGAGGAGACTCTGGTGGTTGCTGTGGGTGGCGCTGTTCTCTTGCTGCTCCGCAGCTGTGGCCAGTCAGCCAGTCTGCTTGCAGTGCTGGCTGGGGGGAAGGAATATCAGCTTGCTTATTGCCGTGAGGGGCTTCAGGACTGCTTTACCTCCAGGGGGTAAGGGGGCCTGAAGATCCTCAAGATTCTCAGCCTGCTGGGCCGAGTGTGCCAGGATGATTTTGTTCACCTGTTAAACCCTTGTCTCTTTAAGACTTTTAAAGAACCTGCTTTTCTTTTGTCCCAGGGCAGCTATCTGTGGGGACCTGTTTGCAGTTTTAGTCTGGGATTTTACTTTTCCATTTCTCTTATATCCAGTACACCACACAATGTGTGTCTGTGCTCCTGCTGCAGATTATTAGGGCTGGTTATTTAGCAGTCCTGTGCTTCCACTCCCTCCTCACTCTGGTTGTTTTCCTCCTGCCAGTGAGCTGGTGTGGGGGAAATTCTCGGGTCCCTCCTGGTCATGGATTTGTATCTTACCCTTTTTGTGAGATGCTGAGTTCTCGCAGATGTAGATGTAGTCTGGCTGTTGTACTGTATCTTCTGGTCTCTCTGTTAGGAATAGTTGTACTTGTTGTATTTTTCTAAAATATATATGGTTTTGGGGAGATTTCTACTGCCCTACTCACGCTGCCATCGTGAGACCCCTCCTTGTAATTTTTGAAACCATTGAGTCTATATGCAAAAGCATCCTTTTATTTCTCAAGATGGTTTCTATAGTAATCAATTCCCATCCCATCTTCCTAACTCTGATTTCAAATTTTTTAAATTGAAAAGTATACATAACATAAAACTTACCATTTTAATCATTTTTAAGTTCAGTGGCATTGCATACATTCTTCACATTGCTGTGCAATCATTACCACTATCCATCTCCAGAACTTTTTTCATTTTTTCCCAAGTGAAATGCTGTACCCATTAAACATTAAGTCCCCATTCTCCCTTCCCCCAGCACTGGAAACCCCAGGTCTATGTCCTGCTACTATGAATTTGACTGCTTCAGGTTCTTCATATAAGTGGAATTATACAGTATTTGTCCTTTGCTGTCTAGCTTATTTATTTAGCATGATGTCTTCGAGGTTCATCCATGTGGCATGTGGCAGAATTTCTTCCCTTTTTAAGGCTGAATTATATTCCACTGTGTATGTGTGTGTGTGATGCATTTTGTTTATCCATTCATATTTGTCAGATACTTGGATTGCTTCCACCTCTTGGCTGTTGTGAATATGCTGTTGTGAACGTGGTTGTACAAGTATCTCTTTGAGGCCCTGTTTTCAGTTATATTGGGTGTATACCCTAGAAGTAGAATTGCTGGATATGAAAATCCTATGTAACCATAAAACTCTTAGAAGACAACATAGGCAAACATCTCCTAAATATAAGCATGAGCACCTTCTTCCTGAACCCATCTTCTCGAGAAAGGGAAACAAAAGCAAAAGTGAACTCATGGGACTACATCAAACTAAAAAGTTTTTGCACGGTAAAGGACATCATCAACAAAACAAAAAGGCATCCTACAGTATGGGAGAATATATTTGTAAATGACATATCTGACAAGGGATTAACATCCAAAATATATAAAGAACTTACACACCTCAACACCCAAAAAGCAAATAACATGATTAACAAATGGGCAGAGGATATGAACAGACAGTTCTTCAAAGAAGAAATTCAGATGACCAACAGACACATGCTCATCATCACTAATCTTCAGGGAAATGCAAATTAAAACCACAATGAGATATCATCTCACACCAGTAAGGATGGCCAGCATCGAAAAGACTAAGAACAACAAATGCTGGCAAGGATGCGGAGAAAGGGGAACCCTCCTACACTGCTGGTGGGAATGTAGCTAGTTCAACCATTGTGGAAAGCAATAGGGAGCTTCCTCAAAAAACTAAAAATAGAAACACCATTAGACCCCAGAATCCCACTCCTTGGAATATACCCAAAAAGTACAACTTCTCAGATTCAAAAAGACATATGCACCCCTATGTTTATCACAGCACTTTTTACAATAGCCAAGATATGGAAGCAATGTAAGTGTCCATCAGTAGAAGATTGGATAAAGAAGATGTGGTACATATATACAATGGAATACTATTCAGCCATAAAAAGAAAGAAATCCTACCATTTGCAACAACATGGATGGAGCTGGAGGATATTATGCTCAGTGAAATAAGCCAGGTGGAGAAAGACAAATGCCAAATGATTTCCCTTATTTGTGGAGTATAACGATGAAGCAAAACTGAAGGAACAAAATAGCAGCAGACTCAGAGACTCCAAGAATGAACTAGTAGTCATCAAAGGGGAGGGGTGTGGCAGGGTAGGTGGGGAGGGAGGGAGGGAGAATGGGATTGAGGGGTATTATGTTTAGTATACATGGTGTGGGGGATCACAGGGAGAACAGTGTATCACAGAGAAGGGACATAGTGGATCTCTGGCAACTTGCTGCACTGATGGACAGTGACTGCATTGGGGTATGGGTGGGGACTTGATAATATGGGTAAATGTATTAACCACATTGTTTCTTCATGTGATACCTTCAAAGGAGTGTATATCAATCATACCTTAATAAAAAAAAAAGAAAATCCTATCTTTAAGTTTTTGAGGAACCACATACTCTTTTATAGTGTCTGCACCATTTTGTAGTCTCACCAATAGTGCACAAGAGTCTGCTTTCTCACATCTTCACCAACACTTGTTATTTTCTGGTTTTTATTTGTTTTTTTGATAATAGCCATCCTAATGCGTGTGAAGTGGTGCCTCACTGTCGTTTTGATTTGCATTTCCTTAATGGTTAGTGATGCTGAGCATCTTTTCATATGTATTCTTTTCTTTTTGCCATTTGTACATCTTTGTTGAAATATTTGTTTCTTTTGCCAATTTCTTATTTCAGTCATTTATATTTTGTTGTTGAGTTGTGGGAGTTCTTTATATATTCTGAATATTAACCTCTTATATGTATGATTTGCACATTTTTCCCCATTCCATAAGTTGCATTTTTAGTCTGTTGATAGTGTCTTTTGTTACACAAACATTTTTCTTTTTGAAATAGTCAATGTATCTATTTTTTTCTTTTGTTGCTTGTGCTTTGGTTGTCATATCCAAGAAGTTATCTACAAATCCAATGTCATGAAGCTTTCCCCTGTTTTCTTGTAAGAGTGTCATAGTTTTAGCTCTTATACTTAGGTACTTGATTCATGTTGAGTTAATTTTTGTATATGGTATAAAGTGCAGATCCAACTTCATTCTTTTGCATCTGGATATTCAGTTTTTCCAGTAGCATTTGTTGAGGGGTGGCTAGTTCTTAAGCAAGGATTGTTTCAGTGGATGTTTCCGAAACAGTTTGTTACTATTCCAAAGGTCAAACAGATAATGATTAAGTTGTGTACTACTTAGAGGTAGATTTTGACCTCTCACAAGTTGAAGAGTACTGAAGATCTGAGATCATTTACATCCCAAAGGAAGAAAAAAATAACATAGCCTTCTCAGGCAAAGAAGAAAGAACTGAAAAGGTACGGGATATTTCACAGGTCAAGGTACATCTGCCTGGTTTGCTTTCTCCAAATACCCACACTTGGTTGGAGAGGCCTCCCTCTTACCTGACTATCTAATAGGGTTGGTGAGGAACATGTCCTCACCTTTTCTTTGGAGTTTGGTTGTTTTGTTAACATTTTCTGAATCTGATGGTGAAGCTGGAGAACTTGAACTGCAGAGACAAAAAAGAAATGCTGACCTCCAACAGTAAGTAGACACATAATTATTTCTGCTGATGGGCTAGGGCAGTTCCTCAGTCTGTTTTCACCAACAGCCAGATAAGCAGGTGTGATTTTTCTTGAAAAAAACAATGTTAAAAATCAGTAGGGGACAATGTTTGGACTGATGTATGGAATTATCTTTCTATATACAAATTATTCACTTATCATTTTGAAAATAAGGCAGGCATGCAATTATTAGGAGATATCTCTAGGGAATTTTCAAAGAAAAGAAAAGCAGCCAAACAGGAAGAATTTGATGTGTTGACCACAAAGTGAAGATATATGCAGTCTGTAGTTTTTCAGTGAGAAACTTTATTCTTCAGATTTAAATATGATGTGTGCTAATTACTGATGCATTCTCTGGTTTGATTTATACAGGCCTCGAATTACTACAGAAAGGGGAAATTTAGTGTTTCTTACTGTGTCTGCTCGAAACATTGAATTTAGAACTGGATCCCTGGGAAAAATTAAATTAAACGATGAAGACCTTGGTGAATGTTTACGTCAGGTATACATTGAAGTAATTTTGTATATTCATAAGTGGTCACTTAATTAAACAGATCTATATTAATCTGGATCTAGAATCTTTAGCACAGGGAGGCAAGTCCTTGGTGGTGAGGCAAGTCCTTGTAAAGAGCAATGCCCTAGGGTTAATGATGCATAAGGGTATAATGCTAGCAAAAAATGGCTTATGGTGTAGGCTTATGTTCTTTAGTCCAGGGAAGATACAGAGAGTGGTTTGGGGACTCCTCCATAAAGGGAACAGGAAGGAAAGGACATTAGAAATGTATAGATGTGATTAGTTTACTTGTGTTGCAAAGAAGTGGCCAATTATGCTTCTGCCCTATTGAGCATTTTTGGTGCTCCTCATGACTATGTCACCCTTGTAGATCAGTGATAATTTTCAAAGCCAGCATTATTCCCAGCTTACTATGGGGTGTCCACTGTGCCTAGACTTTATATGTATTGTTTCATCTAACCCTCACAGCTACCCACTGAGCTTGGCTTTATTATTACCCATTTGTGAGGGAGATACATGGAAGCCTACAGCCTGAGGGCACACAATAAATGGCTGAGCCAAGATTTAAAACCCAGTCTGACTCCAAGCCAGACCTCTCAACAAGCACTCTAAACTGTTATTATGAGAAAAAATACAAATGAAAAATATCTTCATATGTTGTTAGTAAAAAAGGTAAATGGAATTATGTGTGGCTATTTTATTCTAATGTTTGTTTTACATGGAATTGTTTTGGTTTTTATAATAATGGAAAAGATTTTAGTGCTTACAATAGAATACTACTCAATGTTTAAAATTTTATTCCTGTAACATATACATTAGTTTTTTCACTAGCATTTCCTTTCTCCTCCTCCTTTTTCTTTTTAAAATTAGATCCAGAAAAATAAAGACGATATTACTGATCTAAAAAAGACTACAACTGATCTACCTCAAAGTATTGCTAGTCAAATTCATCAGCTTAATTCCAAGGTAATTCTCACATCCACATCTCTAGAGCAAATGGGTTTTCCTTGATTCAACTTGGTGTGGCCTCTTTAGAAGTATAGCACTGAAGTATGGCTTTTAGTTAAATGGTGCAGGTCTGGTAGAGGGTGTAGGTGGTGGTGGGCAGGAAGCTAGAAGCACCGTGGCATGAGCTTTTGCATAAGCAGGCCTTGTTCATGTTCTATAGCAACCTTCTTCTTGGCAAAGTGGATGGATCACTGTCATTTATGAAAAGTCCCCAAGTTACTGTGTATAGAAAAGCAATGAATCAGCTTATCAATGGGTTTTACTTAAAAAAAAAAAAAAATCTACTCTGTGGAAAAGGGCAGGATGGAAGCTTGGAAGGGAGAAAAATGAGGATAGAAAAGGCAGGAAAAAAGGAACAGGTAAAGTGAGCCCTTAGCAGGGGTATTAGGGAAATATGTCAATGGATGGCATCATATGTGAAATGCCTTTGAGCCAACTAACTGGTGCCTTTTTCTCCCCACTGCTAGCTGGCCGATCTTGAGAGAAAATTTGAAAGCTTACAGCAGGTAAGTCCCGTCATTATTAGATATCTAACATCTTTCGCTGAAAATAGACAAAAATACTAATACAAGGATGATAGGTATTCTCATATTAAGATGAGTATATGATCAATATCAAGGACTTTGCTCTTTTCCTAAGTAAATTCTCATCAGATGAAGAATGTGTCTCAGACATAAGTGACCAGCCCCTGATGAGTGGGCATGTGAGGCATGTGGGCACGTGCATTCTTCTGACTTGGAATTCAGACATCTGAGTGCCTTCCTCTTACACTGTCACTCTTTGACTATGTGATGGTAGGCTATGTGTGCTAAACTTGTCAGCTAGTGGCCACCCAACTTGCTGATTCTGGCATCAAGGACTGAGTTTTGAAAGGTCAACCATTCCCTCTAACATTAAACTCAGAAGTCTGGGGTGGGGTGTATCATAAAACAATCTAAATTTCCTTAAAAGTACATTTGCTAGTAATTTAATTGGAGCAATTTCTTAGAGCAAACTTCCATAACTTTACATGCTTGGCAAACTAGTCCTTACAATTTTTGACTTCTTACCCAATTTATAGATAAGCTGGTGTTTTTAACACTTTCATGAAAACCATCACCTTCTATTCAGAGAAATTCATAGAATGTCCCCATATTTAAAATTTTGAATAAAAATAAGAGGATTCCTGGTTAAGAATCCCTGCTCTGTTATTCTTGATATGTTTTGATTATGCTTCAAGTGTCCTCTACTTTGGTGTTTTAAATTTGGTGAACATGTTCATGTATTCCTTTTCCCGACTTTGATAATAAATTGCCCCCTCAGCCTTTATCTTATTAGGAAGTAGCTGATGAATGAAAATGAGCAGGAAGCATACCTGTGGAGCAAGATACAGTGCTAGAGTTTTCAGGCTCCTGGAGGGCTTCACCATTCCTATCAAAGGCCAGGAAAGGGAGGCCATGTCAGAATTGCCCAGACTGTCCTCCCAGTTCCCATACCCCAGGAAGAGGTTTTAATGAGTGTGAATGTGAGTGCCTTTATGCCTTTGCACAGGGCAAGTGCTTTTGGGCACTGCAGTCCCCATCATTCTCCGTTTTCTTCCTTCTACTGCTTACTGATTCCATTTCCTGCTGACGCCCATAGGCCTTTGAGGTTTTAATCCCCAGGCAGTGTTGCTTTTGTATGCCACAAAAATGTCTAATGAATTTGTGGTTAACTTTCTTAATGATGTCCTTTGGTGGATAGGGCCAATTGTGGTACTGGGTCAGAGATAGAATAATGGAAGAAAAGAGTCTAGAAAGACACTTCCACATGTATGACCACCTGACTTAAGGCAAAGGTGGAGAGAATGGCCTTTGTTTGCAGTAAGTGTGCTGAGTCAGGTGGCTATGCTTTGGCCCTGCTTCATCTGTAAAATTAAGGGAACAGACTTGATTTTCTCTGTCACTGAATATAAAAAATGTAATGAATAATTTACCTTTATTTTAATTTTTAAAATAGAGCATGAGACTATGATTAGGCAAAATTAATAGAATAGCTTTCCTTTCTTAATCTGTCCACTCTAAAGAAAATTTCTCTGCCTGTCAGATGGTAAGTTTTCCCAGGTTGGGTAGAAAAGGCAGGTCTGTTGTGACTGGACTGAAAGTAGTCATGTGAGCACAAGAGTGGAAGGTGTATTTAAGCCAGCCGCTTTTCAAACACAGGGACTTGGAATGAAAGGAGTTCAGTCATTTTAATCCATTGGATAAGGGATGGCAGCAGTAGATGATCAAATTTCAGATGCTTATCTGGTGGAGGTGCCAAAGATAAGAATAACAGCAAGAGAACCAGAATTTCCATTTTATTGTCTTCATTAAGTAGGAATGTCCACTATTATTCCCACACCTGGAATCTTTACTTTTGTCCACCAATGTGTATTTCTCAGGTAAACCATGCTTTTCCAAAGAATAGACTGAAAATCTTCTTCCCTCATGCTTCATCCCATCCATGGTCAAATGCATGAAAATGATGAAGGAGTATGAATAGGACTGATAATTTGAAACACTTTTTGTTTTTTTGCAAGAGAGTAGATTTGAAGAAGAACTTAAGTGATGGATTTAAAGTCTGGAGGAAGACTTGATTAACTAGTTGTAAAGTACAGTTTTATGTACAGACATACCCTGAATTTGCCTCCATTGCTGCTACGGAAAGTGTGCTTCTCTTGCTGACAGTCCTGTCTCTGTTTCAGACAGTTGGCAAGAAGGTCTGTGGCAGCAATCCCTGCCAGAATGGTGGAACCTGCCTCAATCTTCACGATTCCTTTTTTTGTGTCTGTCCTTCACAATGGAAGGTGAGTCACTTGGTCTTTGGTTAAAACTGATGGTGAATCAGCATCAGTGGTTTCCTTGGAATCATTCAGACATATTTCATTCTCCATCCAAAGTTTCTAGGAGTCTGTGGTCTCCCGAATCAGAAAGAATTATACCACATATTCCAAAATCCAAACAATGGTGAGCATGATAAACAGCCTACAAATACTAAGCCATCTTAAGGAAGGGTCCACTCGATTGGCTAACTACTAGGAAGGGCATGGTATTTCAGCAAGCTTTAGTTTAAGCTATCCAGCATTGAAAGCACTAAATGGACCTTGACAGAACCCTGTGAAATTTCTTGCATTTTCTATTAATGGTGGAAATGTTCCTGGCATTCCCCTTAAAAAACTTTTTAAGTGACTATTCCTAGGTATAGCTTCGTTGTGAAATGAGGATTAGTTTGTATAAAGATTCTTCTCATGTGACTGCTGTGATCTTACAAAGAGCTCTTTGGCTCTATTAGGCCAAATCCTACTTCCAGAGGAAGGATAACCAGAAATTACTATGAGTAGTAGAGTAGTGGTATTGTATTTAGCTTGGCTGAGAATTTCTTAATTGTCTCTGTATAAATACTTAAGCATATGTGAATATTGGCCCCAGGGGCCTCTGTGACTGGTGGCACCTGACTTTGTTCTGTACATGACTGCAGGGTCCTCTGTGCTCAGTTGATGTTAATGAATGTGAGATTTACTCAGGAACACCCTTGGGCTGCCAGAATGGAGCCACGTGTATAAATACAGCAGGGAGTTACAGGTAACTTTCTTCTCTTCTTTTCTTTTTCAAACAACAAACATTTATTTTTCATACTCCTGGGTGTTCACATTGGCCACTGTGGCTCTTCCTCAGTTTAGGTTTTGTCTGCAGTGTCTCATTCCTAGGCCTGGGCTGGAGGAGCAGCAGCCACTTGAAGAAAGTCTGTTTCATGGCTGAGCTCAAAGGCCCCACAGGGTTGAGCAGAAACGTGTAATGTTGCTTTTAAAGCTTTGGCTCAAAACTGACTGTCACTTTTGACTATTAAAAATACTTATATATTAGGGTATGTTTTTGAAGGACTAACACATCTAAAGTTAGGAACATCCAAGATTAACTATATATTACAGCAAAATTAGGTACTTCAGAGGAAAAACATGTGGCTCTTGTGTGGTGACACAAAGCTTATTCACTTAGGTGAAGAAAAGCATGTGTGTCCCTTACTCTCACTCCGTGAAGGAATTGTTTCTCTACAGTCCCTGAGAAACTGGAGGAAGGCCTCTGTGGCCGGCATAGAGTAAGGACAGCGTGGTGCAAGGTGAGGAGGAATAGTTAGCAAAAGTCAGAGCCTTGCGGGGGCAGCCACTGAGAGCAGTGGGTAAAGAGGGCCCCTCCCCCCACCCACTGCCCTAGCAGCCTGCAGCTGTTCTCATTCCACAGACTAGTGGGCAAAGGTTTAGTAAGGACAGCTTCCTTCAGTGCTCTGTGAAACATTGACCATACAAGATCAGAGATTGAACTGTGGTTTTCTTCGAATAGTGAACTCTCCATTGCCTTCCTTCAGTTACAAGCATAGGTCTCTTACCACAGTCACCATGCAACTCCTATCCTCTCTTTTGATGTACTGTCAGATGGCTCGTCCACAGCACTCCTGCTCAGCTCAGGCATTGCCTCTCAATGAAAACTTCCCTTCCCTTACTAAGCTGTGCTGGGCATCAAAATGCCTCCATGTTCCCACCAACCTCTACAAATACTAATCATTCAGGCTCTTCTGGCTGAAACATCTTTTTAAGTAATCAAATCCAAAAATTTGTGGCAGATCTTTTGTATAGTCAATCTTTTGTATAGTTCCTTACAGACACTTAAAAAAAAGTCTCTGACATCATCTTTCCACATGTTTTGGTTGGTCTGTATTGTGTGCTCATTAAAAGATACAGAAATAGCATGAGCAAATTCTTTCAATACTCTAGGTTGTAATCTCACTGGAGTAAAAAACAATTATTTGCTCTCTGACTAGCATCTCTGCTATTGTGTTCTTCAGTTGCCTTTTTATATCCATTCTGTCCTTTCCAGCAAAAATCAGTGCAGCGATTTTGATTTTTCCTTGTCATCTAATACATTGTTTTCTCAAAAAAGCCATAATCCTTTCCTTTTTCATTTAAGTGATGTTCTTTTGTTCTTTTGATCTGATCTTAATCATTTTTTGCTGATTCTAAGTTGAAAACTTAACTCACTCAAACTTCTGGTAGATGTGTCTGTGAGTTTAATCATTGTGCAAAACCAAAATTAACCACCTCTGACTAAAGTACAGCTGACCCTTGACAAATGCAGGGCTTGGGGTGCTGACTCATGCACAGTCAGGAATCCATGTATAATTTTGGATACCCTAAACTACTAATAGCCTACTGTTGACCGGAAGACTTACAGGTAACATAAACAGTCAAACACATATTTTGTATGTTATATGTATTATATACTATATTCTTACAATAAAGCTAGAGAAAACATGTTTTTTCAAATGTCACAGATCTCCAAAAAAATTGTCAGTATATTTATTGGGAAAAAATACACATATAAGTGGACCTGTGCTGTTCAAAACTGTGTTATTCAAGGTTATTCATAACTGTATTATGTTATTAAAGAGCCTTTTGCTTTCAGTACTTTGTTTCTCATTTAAATGAACCCCCTGACCCCTGCGGTTATAAACATTCAGGTTTGGGTTAGATCCAGAACACAGGTTTAATCTTTCATTTCCTTGAAAGCATTGTCTGCTGATTTCTGTTTATGAGCATTTATCAATGAGAATTGCTGTTTGGTGATATCAGTGGCAAATGATTCCTAGCATTAATACTTTCCCACCTTCCTGATCTCGAGGAGTGTTACGGAGATTAGATACCACTCCCGGTCTTTCTTCATCATCACTGTCTTCCGGCGTCTTGCAAGCCCAGGAATAATAGACATGTGGTGGGTGGGTGAGACCTATAGGCCAAGCCAAAACTGGGTTTCCTCTGCAGCATGTTATATTTACCCCTCAAAGTAGAAAAGAAAAAAAATTAATACAACTATTTGCTGGATGTCAGGGGTTAGAGTTCTTTGTCCAGATACAAACATGTTTGTGAGTGTGTTGAAGAGAGGGAAATTAAGAAAAAGCAAAAGAGCTATTTTATTTGTTGAGAATTGCCTAAATGGCAGATTCAGCTTTATGAGAGCAATACTGAATTCTCTCTTGCACCTTTCCTGGAAAAGGAAGCCTAAGGGACTCACTGTGCTGACCCTGGAAATAGTTTCAGTTTCTAGTCGCTGCCCTTCATAGATGTGCTGGAGGACATCACAGAGCAGACCATTACAATCTGGTTTCTTCCTCCTGATATGGGATTGTTTATGAAGCCTCATGAATTCCAGTTGATTATCTATAACCTAAATATGTGATTCAGGCATATGATGGAGACATTTTGAAAGCATAAAAGAAATAGAAACATTTTCATGAGGGTTAAGGATTAAATGCTTGCTTTGTGGAATCTGTGTGTAATGAAATAAAGAACACTTAGATACTTTCTTGAGTTCTATTAATTATATGAGGTTAAATTTTTGTTAATCAGTAGCTTTCTTGAGGCTATAAGTCCCTTTGGGAAACTTTGACATGCATTTGCAAAGCAGCACTTGAGCTACTGTTGAATAATCCAGCCTGAGGAAATGTGGTTGAGGCAGAGTTCACCCTGGATTGGGGTCTCCTTCAGTCTCTAACTCTTGGAGCCCATTTACTTGGGGAGAAAAGGACTCTTAATTCAAAGGGGTTAATAATTCCTAATTGTAAAGGCCTTGAGAGATAAAGCACTATGCAAGTACTAACTCATTGGAAGCCCTATTTCTTAGGAAAATTTCTGATGAAAATTCTTTCTTAGAGTAATGAAAATGGAGTCAGGAAACCCGTTGTCTGTTTCCACTGACTCTTGTATTCCTGTGCTCAAGGTCTTGCCTCAACTACCTCAGAGAACCAACAGATGACATTTGTCACTTCTCAATGCTGTTATCACCTCTTTGTTCAGAAGAACTGATTCTTCTTGTTTCTCCTGCTTAGTTGAGATTTAAGACAGCCCTTGGAATGCAGATTTGCTGTACACAGATGGTATATGTGATATACTTCAGGTTCAGATCTAGAAGCCTTTCTAGAAAAAAAGAAAGTTGAGTTTGTTATTTGTTTTTTTCTCTAGGAATACACATTGTTTGGCATATATGCACATACATATATTTCCATTCTTATTACTGGTGGGTTTTAAAACATGCAGAGTTTAAACAATGAGGATAATCTAGTTTTAGCTCCAATGGGAGTTAGGTATTAAACTTATTACCTCTTTCAGTTATATTCATATTGAACCATGGACTCCAATGCAAGTTAAACTAAGACTATGAAAGTTGCCTAATGTGCTTGCAGTGTTTTTTAAGACAGAAAAGCCCAGTTTTGTTCTGCTGGAATCAAATCAGCAATAGGTCATTACAAAAGTGACTTCTGCATGGAGGGGTATAGTTCATTACTCTTTTTCTTTAAAGGACATATCCAGACACTTTGAAAATACATTTTGCCTGACAACACTGTTATGTTAAAAAGACATAAAAATGAAAAGTCTGCATAACTTAACTACTTTTAAGAACATGGGAATGTGGCATGGAAAAATAATGGTACAGGCATAACAAAGACATATGTTTTAATTAATCTTCTGCCAGTTACTAATTCTGTGGCCTTGGGCAGTGTGAGCCTGGCCAGTAAAATGGGAATAATAATACGTGACTTTGAGGATCCTAGCAAGGAGACTGATAGTGTACTTCCTCCCTCCTTCCTTCTTCTCACATTATCTAAGTATACTTTGCATACTTTGTAAACTCTGTAGAGAAGAGTGTGGGATTAAAATTTACTCATTTTCTGAAAGACAAGAACAAGGGAGAAGGACTAGAGGTAAAGAGAGGGGCTTTAATTGCAGGTCCTCTAACTAGAGTCTCCTCTCAAATCTTAAGTCACTTACCAATAGTAAAGCATTAGTGATACGATACACACAATTTTCTGAGCACTTCCTATAGGAAAATGTCTTTAGACCCCAAGGTGAAAATAGTGCTTGTAGATTGGCACTATTATTTTATAAGAAACTGGAGACAGAAGGAATTATTTCATTGTCTAAGGTTAACAGTTAATAGGTGTAGTCAGGGTCTAATCTTGGGCAGTTCCATCCAATAGGGTCCTTAATCTGGACCTCTTGTACAATATAGACTCAGAAAGTTAATAAGAGTTGTCTAAAAGGTTTTTAAAAAATTTGCAGATGGACGTGGTAGTAAAATAAACTTACCTGGATCAAATGCTCAAACATGTATACAAAATCTCCAATAGTCTAATTACATTCTCTGAAAGAATATTCTGGGAAAGGACGGGAGAGAGAAAAGGAAAGGGAAGGGGATGTGAGAGGCAGAGTACGGGAAGGAAGAGATGAGAGGAAGGTAAATAGCTTGGGTAGGGAGTGAATAATTGAGTTTCTCTTTAACTATTTATTGCCATTAATCTATGACCTTGTCTTAATGAGAAAGGCCACCTTGGAATGCTCAGAATCATGATTTTTAATGGAACAGATTTTTCACAATTATATATTGATGTGTGAATCACATGGAGTATACTTATATCCAAAAACTATTTACTTATCTGAAATTCATAACTGGGCATCCTGTGTGTTTATTTGCTAGATCTGTGAACCCAACATGTGAGTCCCTGAACTGTACCATATTCTTTCTCTCTGACTCTGGCCATATTCACTAATCTTTTCTTCCTTAGAACCCACTCAAAGATCCCACCCTAGCCCTAGCATTGTTCCTGAGGCCCTACATGGGTACCAAGCTCTATGCCCAGAGTGTGGTTCTAGATGCTTCTGAAACAGCTAGATTCTCATTTCTCACTCTGTCAGTCACACATTTGTTTTAATCTTTGGACATCAGCTGAGCAGCTTGTGCCTCAACATTTATTGTTAAAATAGTTTCTTTACCTTGTAGAATGTCCCGTTTTCCAGAACACTCAGAAACTAGTTCGTAGTTCTTGGCCATGCAGGTCCTTCACATTCCTTGTCTCTGACCCTTGGCTTTTGTGGTCCCTTTCCTCCATGAGGACCAACGTTGCTCAGGTTAGACAAGTGGTGACCTGTGGGCCTGGCTCTGTGCTCCATCAGATGTGCTCAGATGTGTAAATAAGCCTGGGCTCTGTCACCCCTCTACCCGAGCTTCTTCCAGCTGCCATTCTCATACCTTCCATATTCCCTCTGAAGCTGCACTTCAGATACCAAGTGAGTTAGATACCACGCTAACTCAGAAATGTTGAGAATTATAACAGTTTAAAGCACCTTTGCTTATTTGATCATTATTGGACTGAAATCTTCACATAGCAAAACATCCACCACTAGGTATTATCTAATAATTATTTTTTTGTGAGTTAAAATGTGACTATGAAAAGAAATGTTACTATGTTAATTACATCTCTTATGGATAGAAGAAGTAGTACTCTTTGTAATATAAATAGACTCTGGATGTATTATTGCCTTATACAATCCCAGGGAACATTTGAGAATATAACAGTCAATCAAGGTCACCTGTGCTTACTGGTGGGTCTACCTGGATGGATGATGTATGAACCTGCTGCTCCCTCCCTTTACCATCCTGAAGGAACTCCATCCCCATGGTTTATAGATTTCTGACCTTTGAATGTGCTGTTTGATAACCTGATACCAGAAGAATTTATAGCAGTAGTGTTGCTCTGATAGTAAGTCCTGGCCCTTCTCTCACTGTATTTGAGAAGATAACACATTTACTCAGTCCACCACTTGAAAAAGAGCAGGGTGATTTTTGTCCAAGACACCAGGCAGTAAATCTGGTTTGCTGGTTTATGATTCCATATAAACATCACTAACCTGCAATTGGAATTTTTTTTTAAATTGATGCTAAGAAACACATGCCCTGAAGCACAAGCTCTGACATTGTGCTCTTATGTGACAGTTGTCTCTGCTCACCTGAGACACATGGCCCTCAGTGTGCATCCAGATATAATGACTGCGACGGGGGCTCCAAGGCTCGCTGCATCCATGGCATCTGTGAGGACCTAGTCCGAGAGCGGGCTGGAGAGGTGGGTGCCTGCCCAAAGGTGGCTCCCTGGAGGGAGTCATGGCTGCTAGTCCCTCGTCCTCCATGACTGTATGAGCATTCCCCTGGAGGACTGGAGAGGAAGCCACTTTCTGCCTTTAAGCTGAGCACAGGCAAGGAAGGAGATGAGGGTTGTTTATAACTAAGCAGAAACCTAGACCCAGAGGTTGATTTCATTATGTAAATTACTAACATTTTTATTATTTCTTTATGAATCTCTCTGTGAGACATGATTTTCTCTTGGCCCTGTGAGTTTTACCAGTGACAAGATATAGAGACACCGAAGGCCCACTTCTCCTTGTTGGCAGCATGCACTTCTAAGGAGTCTGGATTTTTTCTGGCCCCTGAGCCCCTAAGCATGCTGCAGTCTCTGTGAACCCACCTCCCTGAGTGGCCCCTGTGCTCTGGGTCCTGAAAACCTTGACTTCTGACTCTTGACATACTGCCCAGCCCCACTCTGCTTGTCCTTGCAAGAGACCTTCAGGTCTTTATTTTTAGTTCTGTTTCTTTTTTCTACCCACGTGATGGAAAACGGTTCCCTTCCAATAATGGTAGGAGGGTGGGGTGTGGGTGGGAGGGGAAGGAGAGACTTTCAAAAAGGAAAAAAACAGAATTGATTTTCCATTGTCTGTGCCTAAATGGGTATTTTTCCCTCTAAAAACATAGAAGGCTGAGTGGATTGACTTTAATTATATTGACTTACAGTTCTTGATTGTTGTTGCTCTTTCCCTGGCATCTTTGGGGCAAATTACAGGTTTCCTTTACTCTGACATAAAGATGTTTTTCTTTTTGCATGGTCTGGTCTAAATGCTTAATCATAGGGAAATAAAAAGAGAAGCCACTCAATTGGCCTTATGGTAATGAATGTTAGAGGATAAACAGTTGGGAGCTTGGTGACATTTTCAAAGCCTTTTCTTGTTCATTTTCTTGATTGTCTTTATTCCTGCCCTTGTCATCCTGCCAGCCCAAGTACAGCTGCATCTGTGATGCTGGGTGGACGTCCCCACCGAACAGCCCGGCCTGCACGCTGGACAGGGATGAGTGCAGCCTCCTGCCAGCACCTTGCTCAGCGCTTGCGGAGTGTTTCAACACTCTGGGCTCTTTCTATTGTGGGGCTTGCCCGACAGGTACGCAGGCATGTCTGTGCCCAGCCCAGGGCGGCTCAGCTTTGACGTCAGCCAGCCAAGGTGCCAGAACCAATTGGATTCTGCTGCAGGATAAGACCATGGTTAGAGGTGTCCCAACCCACCTGCGTGTCCTTTTTCACTAACTCCAGACTATCTTCCTGCTGTAAGAACTCAGCAACAGAGATGGGAGGGTTAGAGTCAAACACTGGGGGCAGGGCTAGCCGTGGAGGTGGTGAGGCCAAACATTTTATTGTCTGACTAGACTTGAGACCAAAAAGGCACAGGCTCTTGTCCCACCTTTCATACTGGCCAGATGTTTGTAACCTTGGGCAGATTATTTGACCTCTTAGTGTCTCAACCAGAGTCCAGTAGTCCTCACCTGGGTGTGTCAGGAGAACACCCTGTGGCTTTGCTGTAAATAGGGCTGTCCAGCTCTATTACAGACCCACAGAGAATTCATTGCCAGGGAAGGTCACAGGGAAGGTAGTCTCTGACTGCCTGGGTTTGAGTCCAAGCTCCATTTCTTACTGTATGAGATCATCATCATCCTTTCAATATCCATTTGTAAAGCACCTAGTACAAGTAAAGCACTGTGCTGAGTGCACTGATAGGCAATTAATCAGACCTCAAAGAGTTTACAAGGTCGCCTGCATTCCCTGGGGGTTCTTAGAAGGTAGAGTACAAAGAGCATAGTAATAGCAGCTGTTCTTTTATGAAAACATAATTAAGGCACTGTGCTAGGCAATTTTTAATTCTTGCAGCTACAACCCAAACAAGAAATTCCTAATAGTATTATTTCCATTTTAAAATATAAGAACTTGAGACTTAGAGAAGGTAAATAAATGATTTACCTGAGATCACATATGCAGCAGGATTCAAACCCAGGTCTGCTGACTCTGGATCTGAGCTGAGCTGCTGAATACTCCATTATTCTGTCTCACCAAGGAACCCTGCACATCTATTGCTTCATTTAGTAGCTTTTTTCATGTTATGCATTTACATCTGTACAACTAGAAAGAAATTGAAAAAAACATGTAGATGCTTCCCTCTTAGTTCTCACATATAAATAATCACATTCTGAAGGCAGTTTTCCAGGAACAGTTTTTAAAAACTAGAAATCAGAAATACAAATTATTTAAATTAATAGGATAAGCAATGTGTTCTTACATTTTTTTTATTGTTGGAAAAAAAAAAGAAAAACAGAAGCTTTTTGTTTTCCTGTTAATCATCTTGTTTTTCCTGAATGTCAAAGAAGTACATGCTGCTTATAAAATATAAAGAACTATAAAAATATTTAAAACAAAACAAAACAAAACTGTCCACAACCTTCTCACTCAGACAGACCACCATTAACATTTGGTCATGTTTCCTTCCCATTTTCTTTGCACACTCAATTCTTCACCTACAAATATGATCATTTTCTTAGGTAGATTTTTAGAAGAGGACTCTACTTAGATAAAAGAGAATAAATATTTTAAAGGACTTAACATTTAAAAAATATTGTTAAAATCTTAATCATTTGAATTATAAGAGTAATAAAATTCACTGTAACTATTGAATAAAACAAAACCATCTAAAGCAAAATGGTATACTCTTTCTTCACCTTCAATCTCATTCTCCTCTAAGACCACTGGTAGCAATTTGTTTTCTGCCCTCTTTTACCTTTTCTTTCACTTGTACAAATACATAGACACATATGCAGGGTTTTAAAAAATTATTTCTCTAAATTAGGATCATAATCTGCCCATTATCCTAAAATTTGGTATTTCCAATTAAAAGTGATATGGGAAGATTCTTTCAAAATATGTGTGGGCATGTTATTAAAAATAACTTTTAGTATTCAGTGGTATAGATTTATCAAATTATATTCAGCTATGCCTCTATGGACCACATAGAGGTTTTTTTCCCCATTAAACACCGTTGTAAGACATTTGCTTACCAACAACTGTATGTATACTAGCAGTTTTAAGACTGTAGAGTGAGTTTAAGGAGTGGAATTATTAGGCAAAATTTATGTATTTAAAAATTTTTAATGAATTCTGTAGATCTCTTTCCAAATAGATTTACCTTTTTTATTTAACTTTCTGAACAACAGCATATAGGAGTAACCCCACTTGCCCACTTTGCCAGAATTTGATTCTAAGAATTTAAAACAGTTTTTTGCCAGTCTGATAGGCAGAGTATATCTCGTCTTAACTTATAGTTCTGTACAGTTAAGCAGGTTTTTATATGCTTTTGATTATTTGCATTTCCTCTTTGTTAACAGTTGCATATAGAGCTAACTTCCAAATTTTATTTTTCTAGGCTGGAAAGGAAATGGATACAATTGCCAGGATATCAACGAATGTGAGATAAATAATGGTGGTTGTTCTGTGGCTCCACATGTTGAATGTGTGAATACACTTGGATCTTACCATTGTCAGTCCTGTCCACCAGGTGCTATGCCACATTTCCTGATACAATTACCGGGAAAGCATACATTTGAAAACAGACTCTTGTGCTCCATTTTTAATATGATTGCTATCTAAGGGCATGTAGCGAATTGTGCAGAAAATTTTACTCAACTTATGGATTCAGGGTATATTAATACAGCTATATGATAAGAAAGAAATAAACAGTATTTTGAATATCAATGGAAAACAAGCCTTTATGAACTATGAAATAACCTATTGAGATAATGTAGAATTTGAAAAATTTTCTCTGTGGATCACAGACCTACAGCTCCATTGTTTCCATAAACAATTATTAATATAACACATTCATGAGATGTTTTACATATAAAATTTACTAAATAACAGGCGTAATAGTTGGCATATAGTACCTGATAGTTTTCCTTCTCTTCATTATTGCTATTCTCTAAATTGAGTTACTACCCAAGAAAGTCAGGGAGTTATAAGGGATAAACTGAAGCCCTACATTTTATTAACATGAAAGAACTGTTCTTTGGACTTCTACAGTAATTTAGCTCTAAGATCATCAAAGTCATTGTAATTACAAAACTTTCAACTTCCTCAGTGTTAGCACTTTCTAAGTCTACCAGTAATTTGGTACATCTTTTTGTTTTTAGTTTTAATATTGCAATTAGAAACAACCCTGAATGTTGTTTCTGAAATGAGATTTCTAACTCTTGTTGTCCTTTATAATTATGGAATTTTGTTTATGACAGTTTGTTTTTTGTTTTGTTGATAGAGGATGTTTGGTTGGTCTGGTTCATGGTAATTGATTCTCCAGTTGGTATTTTTTCCTGCATATTCTTAACATTGTCGTGTCCCTGCTTTTGCTGTGATCAGGGTACCAGGGTGATGGAAGAGTGTGCACACTCATAAACATCTGCTCAGTCAGTAACGGAGGCTGCCACCCGCACGCGTCGTGCTCCTCAGTTCTAGGTAATGACTCATCTTTCTCGGGTTTAGGGTATTTTAGTATGACTTTCTAAAACAAATCAACTTTAAAACCAAATCTTTTTTTTATCTTTAAACCGAAAAAAAGCCATGTTATAAAACTATACATTTGGATTTTTTAAATGCAATAAACTATGGTATTTTATGATCTGCTCTTACTTAGCAATTATTTCCCAAGATAATTAAGGAGACCAATTAATATGACTGTACTGCAGCAAGCAGGAAGGAGAAAGAAAGGAAGAGGATGTGTCAGTTTTCTTTAAGGACTTCCATTTCCATGTCATTGACCAGGACTGAGCCTTGGGGCTACCCTGCCTGCCAAGGAGACTAGAAAATGTAGTCTTTATTTAAGGCTGCCATGTCCCCAGTTAAAATAAGGAGTTCAGTACTAAGGAAGGGAAAAATGAATGTAGGATTATAACTGACAATCCACAATGCTGCATAAAAATAATTCTCTCTTATAACTTTAAAAATAAATATTGCCAAATTTTCTCCCAGAAATGTATCTATTTATATACTCACCAACAGTATATGAAAACATGCATTTACCCCATCCTTGACAATAATGGATACTACCATTATTTTTCATTTTGGTCAATTTTGTAGCTCAAAATTACCATCCCATTATTTTAATTTTGACTAATTCAAAATTAGCTTTTTGATTACTAACTAATAATTGACACTTTTTACATATTTACTGGCCATTTTTTTCAAATTTTTATGTCCTTCTTTCATTTGCTTTCTCATTGATGTGTGAAATTTCTTTATGAACTAAAGATATTATCTCATTATCTGCCTTATGTTTTACAAGTATTTTTCCTGGAATGTTGTTTTTATTTTAATTTTGTGCTGGTATTTTCTATTTAGAAGTTTAAAATTTTTAGGTAGTCAAAAATATAAATCTTTTAGTATTTCTCCCCTTAGAAATAGGCCTTCTCTATTGAACTCTAAAAATAGTCAAGTACATGTTCTTTTATACTTTCATTTATTTTTAACATTAAGATCTTTCATCTTTTTAGGATTTCTTTTTATATATAGCATCTAATAGAGGTCTAGCTTGATATTTTTGTACAAATGGGGGACCTCCACTCCATTTATTGAACAATATATCAAATGCTATTTTGAAATACCACTTTCATTTTTACTAACTTGTCATATATATGCACATATATAAAAGAACATGTATGTGTGTATGCATGTGTGTGTGTGTGTGTGTAAATATATATGTACTTGTGCTATTTAAATGCTTACTAAATGATTAACAGCATAGTGAAATGGTTAGGCATATGGGTTCTAGAAAAGATGGCTTGGATTTTGATTTTTTCCCCTTGGCTCCACTATACTTGAGCTCTGTATCCTTGGTCAAGGCATTTAATCTCTCTGTGCTTTGTCTTCATCTATATATTAGGATTATAATAGTACTATTTCTAGGGCTCTTGAGAGGATTAAGTTAGTCAGTATATGTACAGTGCTTGCAACAGACAGCATCATCACAAGGATACCCTTGTCTGCTGTTGACCTCTCCATGATGAGAAACTTGACTTTCCCTTAGCATACCTCACATTTGTACATGACTCAGGACCATGACATATGGACTGACAGCACCAGTGTCAATCTGCATATAAAGTATTGGAAACATGTAATACCTTTCTTATTTTTAAGATAAAAGAATAGAGAAAAGATTCTAATATTTTCTCCTCATGCCTTGTATTGTCTGCCCCTAAGGATATGCAGACTTCATTTTGGTGATTTCTGATGTAGACAGCATAGCATGAGGTTCATTACTGGGTCAGAATAGAGGAATCCTGTCTTTACAATTTCATTTTTATTTCTGAACAGGTTCCTTACCTCTCTGCACTTGTCTCCCAGGATATACTGGAAATGGTTATGGGCCAAATGGATGTGTTCAACTCAGTAATGTTTGCCTGAGTCACCCCTGTTTAAATGGACAATGCATCGTGAGTGCTTTGTTCTTCCTGTAAACATAGAATACTTAACAAGTAGTTTAGTTTCACTTCTATGAAATATGTTTTCTTTGATTCATGAATGTTAAGGTTAATGACTAAAGCTTAAGATAAAGAACTGTCAATACCTTTCAGATAAAAGGGTAGGTAGTAACTTTAGTTCCCAGTAAAAGCCAATAAGTTAGATTTTTTCTCCCAATAATTTACAAAGTAGTAAAGCAAAGCCTACACTTTGATCGAAATAAATCTAACTTCTTACACTTAGCCATCACCATTTAAATGAATTAACTAATACAAATTAGGCTACTGGAAGGTGTTTGTGGCTTAACATCCTGTGCATTCATCACATAACACTGCTTTTCTTTTTTATTATTTGGGTTGATCAAGTTTATTGTCGGTTTGTTTTATGGCATTATGTTTTTTCTTGTCTTAGGATACAGTCTCTGGTTATCTTTGTAAGTGTGAATCAGGTTGGGCTGGTATCAACTGCACAGAAAACATCAATGAGTGTCTAAGTAACCCCTGTTTGAATGGGGGGACTTGTGTTGATGGCATTAGTGCTTTCAGTTGTGAATGCACACGCTTCTGGACTGGATTTCTCTGTCAGATTCCCCAGCAAGGTATGCTCAACATTTCTTATAGCACAGATGCACAGTTTAGAACTATTTTTAATGAGTCCTGCTATACTCTTCTGTTGAACCCATTTCTCATCCAGTTGCCCAAATGCTTAGAATGCTTTCCTTGAAGAAATGGTATAAAATTCACAAGGTAAATATATTTCTCAATTTCAGCTGGAAGAAACTTTTTCACAAAGGAAAATGAGATTAGTATGTACCATTTTCATGGTATCCATTCTGAAAACAAAATATGCTGAGTTATTGTGATTTTCTGAGGGACAGTTTTCTCTATAGAAGCCATTTAATATCCCTAGAATATTATACTTAATTGTGTCATTCTCCTGGTATAGAATATATAGTGGCTCCCCATTACCTCTTAAATAAAGATTTGGACTGTTTTTCAATTATCCTCTATAACCAGACCTCACCCTGTCCATCTCGACTTATTTGTCATTAGGTGCCTAAAAAATACTCCCTTTCAAGCCAGACATCTTTCTTTATCACTTGAACCTATGTGCCACCATGAATATTTCTGCTGTATTCCTTTATTTGGGATATTTCTCCTCCTCAACCTCTCTAAATTCCTTCTTTGCTTCCTATCCAAATGTATTTGTTCCTCAGGAGTACTTTACATTCAGTCTCCCTCATAACAACTCCACCCTCATTTATTCCTTCCGATTCTGAATCAGAGCATTACTGCAACGTTACTTTATATCTAGGACTACAGTAGACTCTGTGGAGACATAAAGAAGCATGAATTATCATCTCTACATATTGACTGCTTATCTTCCAATTGTGGAGATAAGACTAATACAGAATGATAGAGAGGAAACAAGAACTGAAGAACTAAATTGTGTGGGGCCAAGCCAAGTATCGCAGGTAGAAGGAATGGGAGAGGAATGGGAGAAGGAATTCATGGCAGAGATCAGCAGACATCAACTGGACTTTGAATAGGGGGTGGGCTATGGGTGGTGTCAAAGGAGAAAGAGGACAGGGAGAAGAGAGGATGGCAGGGTTCTTGCCTCCTACGTGGTTACTCAGGCTTCTCCAGGTGCTGCAGTGGCAGGGCTAGAGCTGCAAAGCCTCCTGCTCTTTGGAACTTCTGAAGAGAATGCTCATCACCCTTTCCTTGGCAGTCTGTGGAGGGTCCCTCTCAGGGGTGAATGGAAGCTTCAACTATAGGAGCCCTGATGTTGGTCCTGTGCGTGACGTTACCTGCTTCTGGGTCATCCGGACTGAGGAGGGAAAGGTAAATGTGGGCTCTTCTGTCCAAATCTACATTAATCTAAATGAACATGTAATTTGTGTAGGTATGACACAAAATACATATAATGGTAATTCAGCTATCATATTGAGATATTACAAAGTCTCAAGCTTTGGGATAGATATTTTATGTGCGTTTCTCTAACCTTACACTAACGCTTTGAAATAAATAATAGTGTCCTCATTTTATAATGAGAAAATGGAAACTAAGTCAAGTGATTTTTTTTAACACTTCTTAGCTAGTAATTGGACTGGCTTGGTTTCAGCACTGGCCGACTACAAGCCAGTAATTTGTAAAGTCATGTTACTGAGACAGTAGAGTTTGAAGATGACCACTCAGCATTTTGTTGATTATTAGGTGAAAATGGGGACTGCCACTGAGATGGTTTTCTTATCAATGCCTTCTTATCAATGCAATTGCATGTACCACTGTGCTGTGCTAATTGCTTCACTTACATTATTCCATTGTGTTTTAACTCTCATAACCCTGAAAGAGAATTTTTATCCTCGTTTTACATATGAGGAAATGGAGACCACAGCAACTGAGAAATTTGTCCAGGTGCGCATGATTTGAAGTCGCATGTGGTGACTTGAACCCAGCCCTTTTGACTCCAGGGACTCTGAGCACTGCATGAACATTCTTCAGATTAAGATCTGAGCCTGAGAGTTTTAGTGCTTTCACCACCAACACTAATTACTCAGACTTAACCAAATATTTATTTCTGAGTCAATTCCTGGGCTCATTAAAATAAAGTTATATATCTGAATAAATAAGGTTTTCCCTTGAAATCCTGTTAAATTTTTCCAGCAAACTAAAGTTACAGAGGTCATTGTCTAAGGGTTAGAAAACACTTTTTCTTTCCCTTCAGGAGGGAGGGCTCTTTGGGGCCTGGTAACCCCACAATAGAATGAACTCCAAAATCAGTTTTCCAGTGGGTATGTTATGTGAATTTCCTTCCTTCCATTTAGTTTTCATGAATTCTATTTCCTGACATTGAAAACATTTTTCTTTCAAGAAAAAGTCATTTTGTAAAAAAATTTTAATAGTTTTATTATCAAATTGTAAAAAAAGTCATGTTGTTTTTCTTGATCATTGTGATTTTTATATCTTCTTATCCCCATCACAATTTATGTAATATAGTAGAAATTATATAGAGATCAAGGTAGTTCAATTCATGAACATTGACTTGATTTTTACTGAAATTGTTTCAAGGACAAAAATGATGTAATATTGGGTAACAGGTCCTAAAAATACTCCAGCATAGAATTTCAAAAATATCCTGATATCCTTTTTCATTAGCTGAATGCTGTTGTAGTTTTAGGTCATAATGAAAATTAAATTCAACAGCCTCCTTTTGGTAGTTCGACTATTTTAAATGAGGCTATTGGTACAAAATCTCTTATATTTTATTAATTATATTACTATATTTAATTCTGCACATTCTAACAGTTTAACTTGGAGATGCATTTTTGTGTTTGTTTTTCTACTTGTATGCTCAGAACTCTTCATATTACCTTTCCCCTGTTCTCTGTTCTTGGTATAACTGATCTCTAAATGATATCCAACCACCGAAGACTTGCAGGCCTCACACCTGCCTACACCTTGCCTCCTTAGTCTCCATCTAGGTTGTCAGTCTGGGCTGAGCATTAGTATCTTGTTGAGAGTTGGAGACCCTGAGGAATCAGCATCTTTAGGGGTCAGTGATGCTACAGGTTATTCAGGTTATCAGGGCATAAATTCTGGTGAAGGGTAATATTAGTCAGTTAAATTTAATTCAAGGTAGATTTCTTAAATGCACTAAGTATGTTTTACTGCTTTGAAAGCATTGTCAGCTATACATTGAGGAGCCTTTGTTTGATGGACTTGACAGTTTAATGACATCTAGGTAAATCTATTTCATTAACCCCTGAATAACAACTCAATGGATATAAAGTTTCAGTTATGTTAGATGAGTAAGCTCTAGAGATCTGCTGTGCAGCATAGTGCCTGTAGTTAATAATACCGTATTTTACACTTCAATATTTGTTAA